GTGTCCCATAGGTACCGTCAATGCGTGCGCTACTTGTGGAATCAGTTTTCGTGGCACGCACAGGGGACCTCTTTGCGTGGCATGCGCAGCATTTGGTGAACCTCTGATTCGATTTTTCGGGGCAGGCGCAGCGTTTGTTAAACTTCTAGCTCCACTTTTCGTGGCAGGTGCAGCATTTGGTGAACCTCTGTTTCCATTTTTTGCGGCAAGCGCAGCATTTGGTAAGCTTCTAGTTCCACTTTTCGTGGCAGGCGCAGGATTTGTTGAACCTCTGATTCGATTTTTCGGGGCAGGCGCAGCGTTTGGTAAACTTTAGTTCCACTTTTCGTGGCAGGCGCAGCTTTTGGTGAACCTCTGTTGCCATTTGTCGTGGCAGGCGCAGCATTTAGTGAACTTCTTGTTCCATTTTTCGTGGCAAGCACAGCATTTCTTAAACTTCTAGTTCGATTTTTGGTGGCAGGCGCAGCGTTTGGTGAAAACCTGCTTTCATGTTTCGTGGCCGGCGCACGGAATTTGAAGCTCCAGGTGGCCCAACGTGTGGCCAGACGCTGAATCGTAACGTTGGAATCCAACGTTATGCTCGTTTTACGTGGCAGGCGTGGGACAAAAGTCGAAATCGTAACGTTGGACGCGTTTGAAAAAGATTATAGTAATTCTCTTTTTTGAACCGAGTCCAACGTTATGATTTGCACTTTTTTGTGAAACTGTCGCCGAAAACGGATCGTAACGTTGGATTCCAACGTTATGATTTGCGTTTTCGTGTGGGGAGTACTCCGATTTTGGCCGCGCTGGCTGTGCTGAAAGTGGAGATTTCGTGGCAGGCGCAGCGCTTTGTGAACCTCGAGGTGCCGATGTCGTGGCAGGCGCAGGGCTTTGTGAACCTCCAGGTGCAGATTTCGTGGCAGGCGCAGCGCTTTCTGAACGTCCAAGTGGAGATTTCGTGGCAGGCGCAGCGCTTTGTGCACCTGAAAGTGCAGATTTCGTGGCAGGCGCAGCGCTTTGTACACCTCGAAGTGCAGATTTCATGGCAGGCACAGCATTTTGGGAACCTCGAAGTTCGAAGTGGAGATTTCGTGAACCTGAAAGTGCAGATTTCGCAGGAGGGGCAGCATTTTGAGAACCTCGAAGTGCAGAGTTCGTGGCAGTCGCAGCACTTTGTCAACCTCTAAGTGCAGATTTCGTAGGAGGGGCAGCGTCTTGTGAACCTCGAAGTGCAGATTTCATGGCAGGCGCAGCACTTTATGAACCTCGAAGTGCAGGTTTTGTGGCAGGCGCAGCGTTTGGTGAACCTTTGCTTTCATTTTTCGTGGAAGGCGCAAGCTTTGGCGCACTTTTAGTTTACTCAAACTGTGGTTCCTGCCAAACAAAACGCACCAAGTTTAGGACTCTATGATGGTAGTTGTATATAATGCACGCAACTGTAAATCATCACTAATCATGTCCAAGGCCATGGCCACGTCGAAGTCCTCCGGATCCGCTTCGCCCGCTTCGTCCTCTTCGTCCTCTTCATCAAGCCATGAGGAGGAAAAACCATCTGTGACTTTGGGCAACAGCGACACTTCCACAGAGGCTGAGAATGCACCAGCTAAAGCGAGGGCATATGCTGGTATGTTTACTTGGCCATGTCCGCGGCATTTTTTCCAAGACTTGGAAGATCGACGAGCAGCAAAGGTCCTTAAGCCTTGTGATGTTTCCAAGGAGAAACTGTTGGAGGCCTTCACAAAAGCGCTGAAGAGCAAAGGTTACTTGCACAATCTTGTGAAGGCTGCCGTGGCGGATGAACCGCACAAGCATTACCAGCCCGATGGTGCTTCTCGGGAAAGACACAAACACCTCATCTTTCTGTTTCGAGCTCCGTTTGTGCACGCTGGCGTTCGCAAGCTGTTGGCCGAAGAGTTTGGGTACCATGGATTCTTCACATTTCATCGCGCGGGCTGGTGCGCCTATCTGGATTACCTGATGATGGAGAGCGCAAAGAAACCAGCGCATGATTTAGACCGTGACCTTGTGTTTTATCCGTCAAGTTACACCAAGCAGAAAGCTGATGGCGAGCTTGCAGGGATGTCCTCGCAGGTGGCTGGCAGAAAGAAGAATGAGGGGCTGCAGAAAGGTCCGTCGGAGGCCTTGCAGAAACGACGCCGGCGCATGTCTTTTAGCGAGCTTACAGACTTTGTTGTCGAAAGGAAGATTTCAACAGTGGCAGAGCTATGGAAGGCCTGGCACACATACAATCTGGAGACTGTTTTCCATCAAGCGTAATATCAGTCTTAGATAAGCATCCTCCTTGGTAGAAACAACGCGGTTGGAACGACAAGGTGCATCATAGGCAGTCCAATGTTTGGTCCAATCACTTCGTTGGGGATGCCGCGGGTTTTGTGGTCATGCCCAAAGTGCTTTGTTTATAATTCCCTCTCATCGCCAGGCCGCCAAAGAGGAAAAGATGCGTGGCAACTCTTTGGTTTGGGACCATGTGGGGCAGCTTCGGGATCCAGCTGCGGCAGTGCAGAAAATCTTGGCTGCGTGGCACCGACCTGAAACCTTGGGGGCTTCAACTCTTATCACCTCACCACGCTTTCCTTTGGAGCACTTTGATGTACCTCCACGGGTCCTGCAGTGGAAGGAGACCCAATCCCTCACCCATACCTTAATCCTGCGTGGTCCGCCTGGGACTGGGAAGACTGAAATGGCTATATCCGTGCTTTTGTCCACATGCCGCGCTGGCATCCACTTTGTCAGCAAGCTTGATCAGATGCATAAGATCACCGTGCACCCAGGTGAGGGACTTGTTGTCGATGAGGCTTGTTTCAGGACAGTGAGCATTGATGATGCGAAAGCTTGGTGCGATGTGACTCACGCACGCGATGTGCACAACCGTTGCTCTGACGGACACATTCCAGCGCAAACGCCAAGGATCTTCACTACAAACCATGAAGTCCCACAGTTTTGGCCCCCAGAGTATTTTCATTCCAGTCATCAGGCTGCAATTGATCGGAGAACTGTTTGGGTTGACTGCCCAAACAAGCTGTTCAAGGACAGGGAAGCAACGTGCAAGGGTAACAACGTAACGTTATGAAGCGCCATCCAAGGGAGGTGTATTGCCCCCCAAAAGTGTGTAACGCAGGTGGTCAGCGAGGTTCATTGAATCTCCTTTGAATGGCCCTTCCCAACGTTATGTTTTGGTTGTTGGAAATTCCAAGTTGGAAAGTGTTTTTCTGGAATGCCTGGCCCTTCGCAACTTTACTTTTTTGCTGGAATGGCCCTTCTCAAGGTTGAGTTTTTTGTTACTGAAATTGCTTCCCACACTGTGCGGTGTTACATCTGATGTTTTGTCGCTGAGGCTATATTTCCAACATTATGCACTGTTAAATCTTGTGCTTTGTTCATGTTCCGTTTCCCTCCACAACTGCATTCCCAACTGGCGCTTGATCTTGGGCTGGGTATTCTCGGATTACCTGGCAAGGAGCCACAGGCTGATTCGGACGCCTGTGCATCCCATATGATCTCAGATACACCAGTGGCTGCAGCGGCTGCGATCTTGCGGCCAGATCAGGAGCCACAGGGTGAGTCGTCCGGAGCGGACGCCTTCAAGGCCCATAGGATCTCAGAGACAGCAGCGGCTGCAGCGGAAGATCTCTTGTGGCCGGATGACGATGAACTCAACGAGATGATGGAAGATTCATTTGATTTTTGAATTTCTGAACAGTGTATTCATATGCCAATTGCAGCATCTATCGTCTATCAACAGACGCCGAAGGCGCTACGCGAGAAAAGAATAGTGGTATTGACGTGAGGGCGCAATCGTGGGATGGTGGACCCGTATTTGTGATGTACTACAATCGTAGAAGTAGTTTTACCTGACACCGGTTCAGGGTTTCACCTCCCACAACCCCACTCAAGTCTGGTGGACACAATGTGAGAAAACCATACACTTTGACATTGGGTTTTTTTTACCAGGGGATATATCTGGGACCCAACCGACACCATCGCGAGGTGTAGAAATTGCGGTTTGTAGATGAGGTTCCTTTGGTGCTTCAAATTTGAGGAGACCACCGATTCTGGTTCAAAGGAAGACAACCGGGCTATCGGATCGTGTTGCTGAGGTGCGGCCATTGCCCCCCATTCATTCCATGAGTCGAGCTGTGCAGTGGAAACAAAGAACGCCGGGGTGGCACACCAAACTGGGACGTTTTAGAGGTAGGAGTTCCACTTCCCTTCATTGGGCCCTAGATGTATATATATTTATTTAAACAAAATCGAAGAAACAAAAAAACATGTCAAAGCAAAAACAACTAGTTCCAAAAAAATCAACAAAAAGTCAAACACAAATCGAAACACATGATTTTTTTAAAGTCGGAAAAGGTCTCAAAAAAAAGTCAAGACAAGGTCGGATCTGGGCCAATTGACTTTTTTTTGACTTTCTGAAACTTTATGATTTGACTATTGTTGACTTTGACGTTTGGGACTGACTAAGTTGAAAACAGGCTCTCTCTACAATGAACGATTTCATTAAGCCTAGCCTATCGGCTGGCTTTCGCAATGATCATATCTCATCCATGCCTATCCCCAGAAAGGCCTGGCATTGCTCATCGGGGCATCGATGTGAGGTTATGCGTAGTGGGGGAGATCGTGAGTCATTCACAACATTGACAACAGTTCCAATTTGCTTTGCATTCTCCCAAAAGACAGCGTGATCTTGGATTTTTTGTAGGGGAAGCATGGGGAAGCTAAATTTCAAAAGTCAAGGAAATTAAGGTTGAGAAAAGTGCGGATTGGAAAATAAGAGTCGATGCATCGTGATTCTTCGAACATCGTCTTTGTCCCCGTTGAGGCATCCTCAACGAGGGAGCCGTGGAGCCTCAGAAAGAGCCCTCTGCGGCAACACGACCATAAAACCAACCCATGCTTTCCAAAACATCTCGGACCCTCCAAAAGAACTGGACCCACGTGCATGTGGACCCAAAAACCTCATCCGGACACCCTCACCGCGTCATACCAAGGGGCTGAAATTCCATGCCCTCCGACGTGAGGAGGCCTCAGGATGTTGGTGTGAACCCCCACATCTGCCGACTTGCCAGTTCAGTTGCCAACAGGCAGCAAAGTGAAAGACGTTCGCCGAGCAAAACCCTGAGACATACCCCCCGAAACAAGGCACAGCTGCACAGCAAAAAGTCCGTCCGGTAACATCCGTAACAGGGTTTTCTCAATGAAAAGCCGGATCTTGGCACCGACTCGCGCGAAGTCTTTGGAAGCTTCGGATTCGGTTGGAGGTCTTGTGATGAAATGGCATCGGGTTCGTGTTCATTTTTGAATATGGTTGATGTCTATCGTGCGGACCTACATATGATTCACATATGATTCACATATTCTCACAAGGTTCTTTCCACCCTCTTTTGTTCCAATTCAAACCATCTCTTTCTCAGAATCCCACCTGTTTTGCCCGTTCACACGCCAGTCCGAAGCCGTCACCCGAAACCCACCCGTCGTTCACCGGTGCAAGCGCCCCGGCGGAAGCGCATCAGGCCAAGTGCCTCGCCGGCCATCTCGCGTAGCCCATCCCTCGGTGTGGGCGTATAGGGTCCGAAAATGCAAGGGTCATTTGAAAGCGTGGGCTTCTCTTTGAGCTTTGGTTTGTGTTTTCTTAAGAGTTTTGTTTTACCATCGACGGGGTCGCCTGATAGTACGAGGTGCCATGTCGCATGGGCGAAGGTGGACACGGTGCAGAAACAAGGGTTTGGTATCGGTATCAGTCGCATTAATTAAGGTTGGGATGTCCACACCATTGACGTCAAACAACAATCCCATGGAGAGCTCGTGGCAAATGGAATCGATGGGCAAATGTTCTTTACGAGCCAAACAATTGATGGAAATGGTATGAAATGGTTCATTGGTATGAGCAGTTGCAGGTACCTTCGGATGAAACAGGAGGTCATTGTGCGTCTCAAGGTCCCGGGTTCGTCAGGTAGAGCCCAATGCGTGGGCTCTCACAGTCTGTCTAGGAGTATTGATTAGGCCGGCACAACTGTATTAAGAATTGTTAAAGATTCGTATAGATAGCCAGAATAGTAGAAACCTGGCGATGTTCACTCACTTTGGTAGTTCTACAGCTCAAGAAGTCAAGAACTGTGTAAGTCTGTTCCAAGAAAAGGCCCCTGTGGCACGCAATTCGGAAACAACTCCTAGGGTTCTTCCCAGATGTGCGGAAAGCTCATTCGATGTCAGGGTTGTCGTCATGGTAGTGAACTCCAAATCAGTCCGGGCTAGTCCAGGGTTTCGTAACTTGTCCAATCTGAACTGAACTGACTGAAACCTGGTTGATTTATTTGAGATCATTTCCCACCTCATCCCACCTCCATCCCCCTTTGGTGGACGCACTGCACATGGAGCATGCTGTCCAGCTGTGATTCGCAGCTCAGCATGCGGTCGAGCCTGGGGTCGCCACTTCGCGTTGGAGGTTGGAGGGGTTGGAAGAGTCTCAAAGTGCCATATGTCGCCGAGATGTGAGCCGACCAGAACCTGCATCGTCCCAAAGATGGACTGATGGGCTTGTCTCAACAGTTGGAAATCACCGTGGGTTCGAAACAGAATCATAGAAGCCCAGGTCCAGCCACATGCACCCAGGTCCAGCCCCAGACCCGATGATCAACGGGTCGCGACCGTAAAACCTCTCATCAGGAGTCACAATTCGAGCGGGTGGTTTTCAGTGGGCAGTGCATGGATACCTAGAGAGGTTGAACAGCCCTTTTTCGCCCATCCCATATGTACCACTACAGCGTCCTATATGGTCTCTCAACCTCTGTTGGATAAGCAGGCACCTCTTTGTACCTCGACTGTGGCAGCCCCTGAAGACGGGCAGTCCGAGACTTGGAGTGACCAACAGCACCGACGGAACCGTGGCGCGTTTCTCCGCAAAAGTTTTGGGATGCTGGGAAAGCTGAGTTGTCCTTCTGTAGAGTTTGTTGGCGGGACATCAAGAAGGTGTCTAACTGTTATAACTCAGTCCGTTGTGCGAGAAACCAATTGTTTCTTCTTCTTCCGCCCTCCCTTTCCCGTGTCCCGTTTTTTGACATCATCGTTTCTTATCTTTTGTTCTTGTCTTCAGGCAACTCTGCAAAAAAGGAATAGAGACAGCTCCAATTCCACATCCATACCTGGTGAAACCGCACTGATAAAACTGAAGTGTATCATGCCAAGGTTCCTTCTACAAGAGATGCCTGAGATGCCTGACACAAACTGGAGTTCACACACCTGGGGATGAAATTCAGGCTTGCCAATGTATTAGAACATATTAAAACACACATTACATCTAATTACCACCAGGAGCAATCAAAGCTAAGCTATCTTCGCTTGAGCGGCACCAGGTACCCAGCAACTTGGCGAAAAGGCCCAAGACCGACGGACTCTGTGTCTCGAGCATGCTAATCTTTGGTTCAGGCAGTGACTCCAAATGTGGCCATCAACAATCTTCGACAAATGTATGGCCGCAGCAAGTGAGACGTGTTCAAAAAAATCCTCTGCTGTAGAGGCTTCAAGGTCACTTGCTATGACACATCATGATGTACTTGATGCTTCTTGGAAATGATGACCTGCTTCAAACGCTTCGCAGCTAAATTCCAGCAGCAAGCAAAACCGCCCTGGATGTATCCTCTTTCTCACGAGGCTACAAATGCTGAAATAGCGCAGCCAGCGACAAGTCTCTTCCAGAACATCCATCTCCTTTCCAGGGGTTGCCGGAGTCGTTACATCTAAGATATGTATGAAAAGGCTGGCTGGATAGACCTCAGCAGAAAAATCATCCGTCTCCTTGTTCGTGAGGGGCTGCAAGTCACCACAAGTGACTCGCAAGCCCGTACCACTCGGAATTCATTGGCCCAAGAAATGTCTTTGAAGTCCATGGCCTGCAGCGGCACGTCACATGCTGCCGCAGCAATCACTTCCTTTGAAAACTCGGCGAGCACATGGCAATCTCCCACCACAAACAGGTACAACTCCTATCATGTCAAGGTCTGTCTCAAAGGCATCACACCTCCCTTGAATGACAATAATATTATAAGAATATATAAGAATCCTGTTGTCAAAAAGGTCCTGTCTTGAAGCCACCCCCCAAAAAAAGGAACAAAGTTCAAGAGAACAAATCACAAATCTATAAGCAGCATTCTGGAAAATGCACCAAGAACCTCGCTCCATCTCCCCATGGCCCGACTCCACAGCCGTCCGCCACGCCGACTCCCCCATCGCCGGCTCCACCGAGCGGCGTCTGCGGACGACACATGGAGCTGTCGATGCGCAGCTTCCGCGCCGCCGCCTCCATCGTGCGCTGCGCCTGCGGCTCGGCTCGGCCGTCCACGCGAAGGGTGTCGCAGCGGTGTCGCGCAGTGGAGCAAAGAGATTGCAACTTAAACGCATATATAGGCAGCTAAGGGTAGCTAAAGAAGTGTTTTTGTCCTGTACAGCTAATTCTATACAGTAAGAAGGTTGAAGTATGTCATGTCTTCATTATTCTTCATTTGCAGACTGCATGCGTTGAGGATTCAGCTGACATGTTTCTGCATCCTGGACATGATGTCATGTGTTGATTGGGTGAGCTGAACTGCAACTTCCAGTCCAAGAATCTTTCAGGAATCCGTCACTCTGTCTTTGGGTGGATATCTTTTGTGGCCTTAATAGCATTTTGTAAAAATCATTTGAAGTATACTTATCGCGGAAACCACTGAAAAAGAACCTCTCTGCAAGCAGACCTGAAGAGGTCCTGTTATGCGTTTCAAATAAAGGGCTTGTTTCAACTCCAGGATCTTTTTCTGGCTTGTGCCAAGCTTGTTCTCGTTAACGCTCTCCGGAGTGCTCAGCTCGGGATCCCGGTCAAGGCCGTTGTGAAAACACAAGGCAACATCGCGGCCGGTGTCTGTAAAAGCGGCCGGTTCCAAAGGGATGTTCATGCATGTGACTCATTCTGAGGTTGGATGCTTGGATCCATATAATCTATCATATATATATATACCCAAACACTCCATGGGACTGCCATACATGCCTACATTGACCCCCAAAACCACCCCAATGTAGGCATATATGGCATACATGGAGTGTCTGGTATATATATATAATGGAGGACACGCTTTAACCAAGAAAACAGCTGATTGCAAAACCCCACGCAGTCACTTTCACTTGAGGGAGATGATGAGACGATACGAAAAACCTTCAAAAAAAATCAACACAGGTTCTTCTGGCTGGTTCACGTGAGGGGCCTCACTGGATGATGAGCCATTTGAAAAGGAACAACCTGAAACTAAATAGTGTGTGTATATATTCTTAAGCATTCTTCTGACCTTCCTGTTGATCACTTCTGTCGCTGTACTTCGAGAGGCTGGGACGAGGATTTACCACCTGGAGCCCATCTCCCGCAATCGAAACCCAACGAAACAATTTGGAAGGACGTGGTTAAACAAATAAAACATGGATTGATCCTATCATGGTGGGTCCATGTGGGTCACCAACAAATGTACTTAATATGAATAGTTGTTTTCTTTATGCTCACAGTTCTTTTCTGTATGCTGCAGGATGGGGGATGTTTTTTTATGCGTCAGGTTCATTAAAAAAAACACCCAGCCCATATATATATTGATCCTTTCATACACTTTCCGTTAAACAAACTACTGGTGGCATGAGAGAGTGGGTGTCAGGATTGATATGTTCCTTGAAAGGCATGGCACGGAACATTTGACCCAAAGGGTCATGAACGACGCCCTGCCGGGCCCTGCCTCTGCTAAAGCTCGTTTTGACACCTGCTGCAGCGGAACTCAGGGACTTCGAAAAAACTTTTGGGCTGAATAGAGAAATCCCTAGGGCTACAGTCCTACCTTCTCAGAAAATCACTTGCCTGGCACCCACCCCAATCACCTTCGAAACGGAAGTAGTTGCAACCCTAGGGTTTAAAGATGTTGAACAACGCTGACCCCGCCAGGTCAGATCTGATTGGACATTGACAAGAATTGCCTCTGAGGTCATCAGAAAATACAGTACAGATGTCCATTGTCGCAAATCGTTTCAAACTAAATTCATCTTTTAAGCAAGTGCACGCCTTACCCAAAAGTTTTCGCCTCACAACAGCGTTACACCACAAATATAACGGACCAGAGAAACCAATGTCATATGTCATCACTACTATTGACATTGGCCAAAAACATTTGGTTTTGAACCTAGTCGGCCAGATCAGCATGTTGGTAACAAAGATGTCACCAACCCCCTTTCAATGCTTTTCGGGTTTTCATTGGTTCCTACATGGCCGTGGGCCAATGGACCCTGTTCTCTACACCTCAAGCTTGCAGCGGCTGTGCTTTCAGCGCCTTCTCACATGACACACCCGGCTTTTCACACATAAAAACCTCTGAACAGTTGGAGCCTTTCAACTTCGAGCGATCCCACCCTGAGAGGCGATTTGGAAGAAGACAGGGCACATGTATTGACAGAAAAGGCGGATATGTGGATTGACTTCTGACGCTTGTTTTGGCATCAAATCTCCTCCGACACATGATCTATCATAAAGGACGGGAAATGTTCTGGACAGTGTTCTGACGTCCTGGTTGGGATGTGCTCTGACATTTTCCTGCCGTGAAGTCTGACATGTGCTGTGACATATGGCTGACTTCGGTCCTGGTATGTGCTCTGACATGAACTCCAACATATTTCGTGCCATTAAAGAAAACAAGTATATCCTGGCATTCTATCTCGTATACTCTGACACTCTCTCTGGCATGTGCTGGCATTCTATCTGGCAAATATTTTGGCATCAAACTGGAATATATTGCGGCGTTCTATCTACAGAAAAGCTCTGGCGTTCTATCTGGCATGTAGTGGCATTTCTATCTCTCGCATTCTGGCACAAATTCATGCATTTTACCTGGCGTAAACTCTGACATTCTATCTGGCATTCTGTCTCAAGGAGTTAATCTGTTGGGTCACAATGGTACACATTATATCGATGAATGACAAATTTGGATATATTTGGCCAATATTCGGGAATTCAGTCTGGCATAAATGCTGGATACACTGTCCAACACATGCTTCAATGACAGGCAGAATGCTCCTCATCTTTGCTAAAAAGTGAGGAACCCTGCTAGAAAATGAGAATCCCGGTAGGATCAAGAAACAAGGTGATGTCTAGAAAATGACCCTGCCAGCATGCCTATGAGACCTGTGATCCTCATTTTCTGGTGACCTACATGTCAGTAGAAAAGGCCATACCTGACCCCTTCCCAGTGAGTTTACCTTGAGACTAAAGACTGCCCGTTTTCTACACACGTCAACCCCTCCAATTTTTAGTCCGAACATCATGGGGGATCAACCAACTCCAATCAACATCCGCCGCAACCTGCAGAATACCTCCCTCCAAGCCGCACCGGTGTCAATGCGGCCGAATGGTGATATTGAAGACCACACATACTTCGCCGTCTTTGTTGACTTCAACCCGAAACATGGCGAACGCTTCGTCCGGCAGTGCGTATCGTTTGTTACATTCCACTGCGTACTATATAGTCGTGGTTATCGTGGTAGTCGTCGTCTAGTCGTCGTAGGACTGGGCGTTGTTGTACTATATTCCCACTCCAATAGCATGCGAGTACCGGTGGTAGCCGTAGCAGTGGTTGGACTGATTAGACATATGCGTTTCTACATATAAGCTCTTGGTTATAAGGACTGCAGTGCAAATGACATTGTTGCGTTTGTTGTGCAACCATGTGCAACCATGTGCAACCATGGAACACGAGCCTCCTAAGGGAAATTGTCAACACGCACGTCGCGGTCATGTGCCCATGTGAATTGTTCGTGGCAGGATTCGAAAGATTCCAAACCTTGTCAACCATGGATGGCCTACCTTGAGACCAAGCTCTATGAGAAGATCTTCAAACTAGACAGGGCTGTGACATGCTTCACCCTGATCCAACTCCTCCCAAAGAGAATGCAATTTCAGGGGCTGTGCTGAGCCATAGCTACAAAGTTGCGGAGAAAGCTTTGTGTTCAAGGTCGGATACACCCATTGTCCGTATCTTCGGTTTTGAAATCCAACTTTTGGCTACTGTCACGATGCTCACCATATATATATATATATATGCGGACCGGCTGCGGACCACATATATATATATATATGCGTACTCTGTGACGTAGTTCCTGTCTGTGACTGTGACGTTGTCTGCCGTTGTTGGTTCGCTTTTTCGTTCTTCGCTAAGTTAACTCGTTCGGCTTCCAACTTCTGTTTGACGGGCCCTGTAGCCACGGATTCTGTTCGATGGGTACCCAGCCCTTTGCATAAAGGAAAGAACTGTCGGCATTTGACGCACGCCTCTATAGCCAAGGATCCCGCTTGAACGGCCCCCCTTGCAGAAGGATTTTCTTCGGCAGCCACCTTCCACATCTGGCCCGACACCTCCCAGCATACACAAAGGCACCGTCGTTTTGATTCTGCTTGACGGACGCCTCTATACACAAACATGTTAAGCACCCCTGTTTGACGGGCCCTCTTGCCGAAGGAACGTTGACACCTTGGCCGACACCTCCCAGCATATTAAAAAAGCACCGTCGGCATGATGCCTCTATGGCCCAGGATTCTGTTTGACGGGCCCTCTTGCAGAAGGATTTTGC